TATTTGTGTTGATTTATAAGACGACTTTACTATTTGTTAAAGTTTGTCCTCATAAAAAAATAAATTTCTCATAAAAAAGGAAAATTACACTTAAAAAAAAGGATTGCGCCGAGAAGCCAGAAATTAAGCTTCAGGAAATCTAAAATTTGTTTATAATAATATTTATAATAATAACATTTTGAGTTCAAATATTTTTAAAAATACATACATACATATGATTAATTTTGTTGTCAGTTGTATGGGGGCGGGGGGAAGGCGTGGTCAAATTAACACCCAATTTTTTTCAAAATTCTCTTTTATCCTCCCTGATATTTGCGCAAATTTTTAGAATCTTAGGTTCATTTTTAGAGTTTATGCCAAAAATTTGGTCTTTTGGACCATACTGCAGTGGCGAAAAAAATAATAGCACCATTTGAATACATTGAAATAGTATTCCTCCAACAGTGGAGGAATATTTTACGGTCAGATGAGAGCAATGTGGTTATGTTTGGTGGGAAAGGATCTAGATCGTATGTCAGACGTCCAAGGAATGCAGATTATAAGCCTCAGTACACCAATAAGACCATAAAGCATGGGAGGTTGTAGTGTGATGGTATGGACCTGCTTTTCCTATAACGGCCCGATAAAACGGATCAAGACCATCATGGATCAGCCTATAAAGACCATCATTCCTATAAAGAATACACCACAAAGTATTAAATTAATATATATGTATATATATATTTGTGTCCCGTTTTTAATACCACCCGTTTCTTAATCATATTCAAGTCTTTAGTCATCATCATATTCAAGTTTTATATTCTACATGTTTAAAGGACCTTTGGGGTTGGCAGTCGATCACTGGCCTCTCCAGTTGGAAGGATCCTACCCAATTTATGCACTTTTTAGGCCTTTAATGAAAAAGAAAATCTGGCTAACCAGGAAACGGATAGTTGTAGCCATCAAACGGGCAATAGCTACCGTCATGTTATTGCCGAAAAAATAAGCCATTAGAACAAATTGTAAACTATATACATAAATAGTTTATTTTTTATTCGTTTGAAATTTAATAACCAACCGAAGCTGATTCAGCTTATAAAGTGTATCCTCAAACAAACGATTTTTACTTGCGACTTGCTATATTGTATATTGTTTTTGGAAAATTGTTGTTGGAATATTTTACAGAACACTTCTCGAGGTAATAATTCAAAATGCTTGAGCGATGTAATTTAAAGCAAAAGAGCAGGGTTAAGGCTTTGTATTTCTGAGCGCCTATCGCTTTAAAGATCGCTTTTAGGAGGAACTAGTTCATGCGCAAGAAAACTAGTTCAGATTTGAACCGAGAAGAACAGACCGACAAAGAGCAGAGGCAGAAACAGCTGTTGGTAGTCAGTTTGGCCACACTAACTCAAATCGCGGAAGATCCGCACTATGGGCACTATTGCCGTGCCAAGCGTGAAATATCGTCGCGACACAGACACAACAAAGCAATCTGAGAACGGAGCTCGCCAGGCGAGCAGTCGGATGGGTCGCAATCGATCGGTTTCCCCACTTGCTAAACACTTCGCAGATCTCTCGGTTAAAGGTTCAAAGTGATGTGAGGCGAAAAAACAAAAAAAATACAAAACGAAAACAGAGCGAAAAGAAAGCAAGGCGGTGGAAATGAAATGAGTCTGGGATCAGACCGCGGTACCAGCAACAAGTTTTAGTGTTTCTCCCTTGTGCGCCTCGTTCGTGTTTTCGGCCCTGCGCTTTGCTCTCCCATTCGGCGACTTTTATTTTGTTTTGTTTTCCCCCTCCCAAGTTTTATCAGAACACGATCCGATCCCGACCACCTCCAAAACGGGCCAAGCGCGCTGCGTGCTCCGCGGAGGTGATCTGATCCGGGTGTTAGTGCATGCAAGGCCAAGGCTCAGAGGCGCCAATTACACAACTTACATGCGGGAGAGCGCGCGGGGACGACGCCAACGTCAACACCATCAAAAAGCACCAGAAGCACCAACCAGAGCCAGGCAGGCGGGCAGTTAAGCGCAGCCACCTATGCCGTCGGCCATGGCCCCCACCACCAGCCACCCCGGCCCGTCACCAGCCCCCAAGCTGGCCAAATTCAAGTCCTCATCTCTGGATCACGAGATCTACAAGGCAAACCGTCGGGGAACCATTGCAACGGCGTCCAGCGACTGGAAAGCTCTTCGTGGCGGAGTACCAGTATCCGGACCCGGCCCCTCTAATGGACGCTCGCTTAATGCTGGTGGAGGCACTCTTGGGATCCCCGCCATGACGCGAGCCGCCTCTACGTCCTCCCTAGCCAGTAGCACGCGCACCATGACCAACTACCAGGAATATAAGATGGAGATTATAAATCAGGTAAGGCTTGGGATGAGGGGAAGGAGAAGACGATGGAGTAGGCAGACTTTTTGGGGTCCAGCGGTTAGGGAATGAAGACTCCATAATATGTACATAGAAATATAGATTCATTTTGCTTTAAAATAGTGGTTTTTAAAATAGACTGAAAGTTATACATTGGATCTTGGCTTCATATTTACCCAAATGAATGAGAACAATTATAAAATAATCTTTCTTTCCTATATTAGTATTCCTGCAATTATCCAACAAATATATATTTTTAAGTAGAGGCCCATCTCACTCGTTGAATCGAAATCGAGCCGCTCTAAGCAAACTCTCCGAACACCAAGTTAATATATTTTAATTTTCTTAAAACGATCATCATCTCCAGTAACAAAAACCAGCACAATGAGGGACTTTAAGCTGAAAAGCTGTTCAAATAAGTGGCCCTGTTTTATGAACAAACTTTTCAATTACAAAGCCGCTACCATAGGAAGCCTCATACTTCTGTCAGCCAGAAATACAGAAGTATAAGTTTGCAAAAATTATCAAACTTCGAGTCGCACTCGATCGGGGAGGATCGACCCTTCCCCGGGTCGCGCCAAGCCCCGTCTCACAAATTAATTGATAAGATGGCTATTTCGTTGAAGAGAGAAATTTCATTATCTCAGCCTGATAAAAAGCTTGAGTGTACGCACGATTTTTCTGTTTTTGTTTTGTAAAATATTTACTGGATCCCCTGGGAGGGCGAGTGTACATAGTGTTTATTAAATAAATTTGCCCTCGGTGCTCGCCAGTGTCTGATAAGTTGTTGAGGAATTTTTGAAAAAGCGCATTGCGGAAGTTTGGACAGAAACCCGAAACCTGGGCTTATCAGATCCCGATTTCTGTAGAAAATTGGCAAAGGACCGGCCAAATGGCTCCATCTTCCGGGGAATGGGGGATCCTCCGAAGCATGGGGGCATGTGTTTAGCATTTGTAAACAATACGCCTTCCCCAAAATCCGTCAGAGCACTAAACAAGTATTCCAAAAATAGGCAGCCGGTGAATTCATCGAACTCGACCTGGGTGAAGTGAATTTAATGATGTTTGGACCACGAGCTAGCCACGAAATGGTTTATGGTAAATGGTAACGGTGAAGCCCATAGCCAGATCACGTAAACAAACTGACGGATTTATTGGTGTGGCTGGAGGGCAGGTGATTAAGCCGCCGACCGCCGGGCCGCTGGAGCGGGGTGCTTCAATAGACTTGTCAAGCCGTGAGCGCCAAGGTCGTCGATTTGGCATGGGTTGGATCTTGTCGTTGGCCATGTCAAAAGTCAAGTTGGCGCCAACGACGGCAATTGGTTAGCTATTCACTCGACTCCGAGCTGTTGGCGTGACCAACGGTAATTGTGCGACATAAATCGCCATTGTGCACCCGCTAAATTGGTCGGAGTTGTGCAGTGACCAGCCGCGGGTTTGTCTAATTGCGGCAAACATTTCAGCAAGCCACAAATCAGACCATGCCAGGTTCTAGTCGATTTGTTTTCATGGCGCATTTTTACAAAAATCCGGCTGCAGTTGAGAGACTCTGCCTGAGGTGCCAATGATATTGACCAGGTGACCAGAGCATCACGTTGCCGGGCTGTAAATACGTTCGTTCCCTGCTGCTCCCCGGAAATAAGTCAGCAGCCAATTGACCGCTGACGGGCGAATATTGACCAACAGTGACCAAAGCAGCCATTTGACTTAATTTAGCCTGAACTTTCGACACTTAAGCATGGACGTTTGTGTTTCAGGGAAAGTGCCTTTGTGGTCAGTATATCCGAGCGCGTCTGCGCCGGGCCGGAGTTCTCAACCGGAAGGTGACGCAACGGCTGCGAAATATTCTGGATCCCGGTTCCTCGCACGTGGTGTTCGAGGTGTTTCCAGCGCTAAATAGCGTAAGTAATGCAATGAAAATTGTACATGTTATAATTGGATATAAAATACCTTCATACTTTGCAGATGGGCGAGGAACTGGAGCGCATGCACCCGCGAGTCTACACAAATATTTCAAGGCAGCTGTCCAGGGCCCCCTTCGGAGAGCTCGAGGATGGGGACATGGCCCCAATGCTGCTCAATTTGGTGGCCAAGGACCTGTTCCGCTCAAACATCACCTGGGGGAAGATAATCTCGCTGTTTGCTGTCTGCGGCGGCTTTGCCATAGATTGCGTCCGCCAAGGTCACTACGACTACCTGCAAACACTGGTCGATGGCCTGGCCGAGATCATAGAGGACGACCTTGTCTACTGGCTAATCGACAATGGAGGGTGGCTAGGCCTGCAGCAGCACATCCGGCCTCGGGTTGGGGAGTTTACGTTCCTGGGCTGGCTCACCCTGTTTGTGACCATTTCGGCGGGCGCCTATATGGTGTCCAACGTCTGCCGGCGCATCGGCTGTCAGCTGTATTCGCTGATATTCTAGTGGCACCCTCTCACCATAGCGGCAGTGACACCTTCGAATCATTCCAGCTTTCTTGGCACCCTGAATAGTTGTTTAGTAGCAGCAATGCATTTTGTTTACTCCTAATATTGTTATATTCTTCTTGTAAATACAAAACTAACTTAGTTTCAACGCAATACCATTGTTATGGAATTAAATTTGAATTTTCCGCCAACCACACAATGTTCGTGACTATCGATAGAAGATCGGCAGGGTTGGAAAACTCTAGTTGGCTACAGTTTTGCAGCACTAAATGCAACTGACGAAGTTTATATTATTTGTTGCACATTTGGATCCTGCTGAAAATAATGCCATGTCATGTAGGTATTCCTATCGGCGGTTGCAAAGCATTTTCGGTAAATATTTTTGTTTTTAGCCCCCCTCGGTATTGAGGACGCGACGATGGGTTCATCCATGCACGTGGAGCAGACCGTCTCCCCGGAGTGCACCTCCCAAGAGCTCTTTTTCTATTGCGAAAGCTGCGGCAAGGTCTACGAGGACAGTGAGTCCTTCAATAGGGATCATACTCAGCAGTCTAGTTGCTGTGGTGTCTTCAAAGAAGAGATGCAGTTTATAGAGGAAGCAACAGTGGAAGATGGGGCCGAGGAAATCTTGGAAGCCGATGCGCCTCTTTGGGAAGTGGTAGATACGCCTGCAACTAGCGCTATGACGGAGCAGGACGAGACTGACCCCAGCCAATCGGAGCGCTATTTCTGCTACGACTGCCATAGCATTTTTGAAAACAGGACCAGTGCCGAGGACCATGTCTGTCCGCGGGCCGAGCTGAGCACTACGTCAGGCCCACAGGTAAGTGCAGCCAGCGCCCCCAGTCCAGCCATCCGCCGAAAGGTATCCAGCACAAGTGCCAAAACAGGTACAACGGGAACTTCTTCCATCAGCTGTGATATTTGCAACACTGTGTTTAGCTCGACAAAGTTTCTTAAATTCCACATGAGGATCCACGAAAAACGCGGTTCTAAGAGTATTCAAGATGCTTTACCCGTAGGCGCCCACCAACAATACAGCGAGCTGGATCAGTTCTACTGCGAGATTTGCAACAAGAGGTTGGTGCTTTATGAAATGTTTATTTCACCCAAGTGATTTTTGCTCTCCGCCAGTTTCGAAGAGAACCTACTGGCAGTGCACAAGCAGATGCACCAGAAGGCGGGCGAGGCAATCAGTTGCAATATTTGTAACCGAAAGTTTGATGATTCAGTCACCTACCAAATGCATCTCAAGATTCACGAGAAACCCCGAACCGTCGATGCTGTGAAGAAACCCTCTCCAAGCTCTAATGGCAGCGTGGAAAAGGAAAAGGGCTTTGCGTGCCAGTTCTGCGGAAGGGTGTTTGGCCGTCCATATGAGAAAGTCAAGCACGAACGGGTGCATACTGGTGAGAAACCATACTCCTGCGAGGTGTGTGGGAAAAATTTCCGGGTGTCCTATTCGCTAACTCTGCACCTGCGAACTCATACGGATATTCGGCCATATGTGTGCACAATTTGCAACAAACGGTACGTATCTGCCATGTTCTGTTGTACCCTGCCTGCCTCGTTATTAAAAGCCATTTATTGCAGGTTCAAGTCCCACCAAGTCTACTCACATCACCTGAAAATTCACAGTTCGGAGCGCGAATTTTCCTGCGAAGTGTGCTCAAAGACCTTTCGTACCTCTGTTCAGCTCTACGCGCACAAAAACACCCATACCAAGCCATACCAATGCGCTGTGTGCAACCGACCGTTTTCATCGATGTATGCCGTCAAGTGCCACATGCAAACTCACCACGCGGAGAAGGGAAACAAGTCTTCAGGAGCCAAGAGTTCGTCCACCTCCAAGTCCACGCCGGCAGGAAAGTTCTGGTGCAAGATCTGCGGAGCTGAATACGCTCGAGTCTTTGCCTTGCGCCTGCACATGAAGTCGGCCCACGGTATAACAGAGGATGCAGATCTGCCGCAGGAAGAAGTCCCAGCCACCGATGCCCCTGGCATGGCGGAGACCGAGGATTCGGAGACGGCGGTGCTGATAGCAGCTGCGGAGGCAGATGCCGCTTATATAAATGCTGTGGTAAACGATGTCGGCCTAGATGGTTCAGTGCCATCCTACCAGGAGGGTGATGAGGTGGGTAATCTAACCATTTACTATTATTAAATACATTTTAGTATTATTTAAGTGAATTTAAAAAACAAAGGTTTCAACTTTCTACACGTTCTATTTTTGGATCAGCCAACTGAATATAGCTGCCATATACATAACTGAACTTAATCGAAAAAGACACAACTGTGCTGTTTTTCACGATGGCAGCTTGTGTCTTTTTCTAATTTTGTATTATTATGAATTCCTTTGATAATAATTCTTGCGAGGATCGGCCAATTATGTGCGACATTTTTAATATTATACATATTCGATCTGATACACATATGTCTTATAATACAAAACGTCACTTGATTGCAAGGGTATATTAACATCTACCCTGCTAGAAGTCTTATTTTTATTTCTTTATTATTTTTATTTGTAATCAGAGTTTGCACTTTATATTACATATATAAAAATTTTAAAACTAATGGCTAATGAAAAACTAAAGAACTAATTCTTCACTACCTTTTCTCTCTAAAAGAACTACTTTTTTCTTTTTTATCTCAAGCGAATCTTAACCGATCTGTTTTTTAAAATGAACCCAGAAATTTCTTTAAGAACATTAAACAGAAACCTTTAAACCAATTTTGAAACTGTTTCCCAGTCTCCTACTCTTCAATTAGTATACTTTTTAACCCACATAGCCACTAACTCTTCCTTTCTTTCCACGATTTTAGTTTGTTGTGGACAATTTTCCCAGCGAAGAAATCATAACGGATTGGCTAAAGTAACTTCGATTAATAAATGAAAATTAGCCAAGAAAACGTCCAACATGTATCTTATTTCCAAACTGCCGAATGAGACTAGTTTCACCTAGGTTAGTAATTTAACTTTATTCGGGAATATAACTGGCGGGTAACAAGTAAATATATTGCTGGCGTATATTGAGACCAGACCGTTTTAATGGTTGATAAATTATAAAATGTTTAAGTTTTTACTACTAAATGTATATTTTTAGACTAATAAAACATGTGCCTGATGTGCAGCCTTTATTCTTGGTTGTCAGCAGCCTCGTCCTCCTCGGGGTCGCTGTTGTCCTCGTCACAGATCTCCTTTAGCACCTCCACCAGATTCTTGGCCTCGTCTAGCTCCTTTCGCATTGTGTCCATTTCTTCCTCCAAACCCTCGATGCGCTCGTGCAGATGCCTATTTTCCGTCAGCGAATTTTCTAGTGCTAGTCGTCGCTGCTCCGCGAGGAGCTTGTAGTAGTTCTCGCCGGGCTCACTTTCACTGGTAAGATCCTCAGCCGTTATGGGCTTGTCAGCATCGCGTTGTGGCGTCGCCAAAGCCACGTCCTCGGTCTGTGTGTCCGCGTCCTTCGAGGTCGATGTTGCTGAACTCGAGTCCACACACTTGCGCTTCCCGTACTTGGGCGTTACTTGGACGCCAGCCTTCAGGCGACTCAACTGATCCACGATGGAGGCTCGGCCTGGACCCGTTAGGTTCTCCTTGTCGTTGAGGTTCACGTTGCCCTGCAGGGGCTTCAGGGTCTTGCGTTGTTGCTTCAGATGCTCCTGCTGCTCGGCCTCGCTCTCAACTTGGATGTAGACTCTGGCAGCGCCCGTAGACATTTTAAGTCCTGTTTTTGGTTTTCTCTCTTTGGGTTCTTAGACGACGCGTCCGCGCTTCCTGTTTACCGTTTGTTTACACCAGTTTTTTTACCCAACTTCACGCTTCCTCTCGTAATGGCCGCCAAAAATGCCGATTAGGGATGGTCGATATAAAATGTGGTCGAAATATCGACATTCAGCTGGAACTCGGACCGGGTGGCCGCATCGGGCCCTTGGCGTTGCCAGAATTCTAGCATCTGTTGCAATACTTAATTTGAAAATTCGTTTGAATATTTCTTAAAAAAACACAAGTCTCGAATTATGGCCTGCCATAGTGCAGATTTCAATTGTTTTTTTATGATCTAAACATAAGATAAAAATTTAAGAACTTTTTAGAGGATGCGGTCAAACATCAAAGACACATTCTGCCAATCTGAGTCTTGGTATTTCCGTGTCACGAAAGGACGATGAGAAAGGGCGATTGGCGAAAAAAGACGATAAGAGCTCCACCCATTCGAAGGAAAAAGGAAACATGTAATTCGATCAGAAGCGCATATAAATAGTTCATATTTTTGTTTCTCACTTGTCGCCTACTCACCCACATCCTGCATCCTGCCCGCTTTGCTGGAATATCGAACGTCGAAGATGGAGCACAACGAAATTTCCATGTGCATGGACGTAAAACTGGATACACATGACAAGCGCCCAGTGGCGATGCGTTACAAAACGTGGACCCGCTGTGAGGTAAAGATAGAGGCAATTAAGTGCGTTCCTTGTTTTCTGCGGCTGAGTTTCCAGCCTATGCCGGATACGGAGGGTCCTTCGAAGACGCTGAGCATCTCGGTGAACGTGCCCGGAGTCAGTCTCAGCTTGGCCACCTCTCGAACGAAGCAGTACTCGTATGGCCTCTTCTGGACACAAAACCGACGCGACTGCTTTATCTACTTTGCCCTTGAGACGGAGACTGCATGTCGGAAGCACATGAAATGGGTGCGAAAGTCGGTAAAGAATCTGGAGTTGTATAGACAGGTCTTTCTGGAACAGCGACGCCTCAGCAGAGGACCTCAGGGTGTACTAGGGCCCCTTCCTAACCTGCCGGAGATCCTAGATGCCAGCAGCATGTCGGCTCGTGTGTCGCAGATCTATGAGGAAATTTTCGATGGCAGTCGTATTTCGCGGGTCTCCATAGCCTCGGGCATATATGAGGAAATGAAGCCCGCCGTTCTTGAGGCTCCTTCTCCGCCCCCTCTGCCAGCGCAGCCACATCGGAACCGAATCAACACCTTTGAGTCGCAGGCAAGGGAAATTCCACGGGCTAACACCAATCCAGAGTCTGAATTGGCTAAAAGAAAGAAGTACAAGAACATGCTGGACACCCTGTTCGGAGGAGTACGCCAGAAGCGATCTGGTAGCGTCAGTGAGACTGTCCAGGAACCCGAGGAGAACCAACTTCCGCTTTACGAGAACGCACCCACCCCAGAGCCGGTGCTCCCACTCAAACGTTCTGCCCAGCTAAGCAGATCCCAGCGCAATAGCTTTTCAAGCCCCGACCTCTCCAAACTAAACATATTGGATGCTTTAGAAGTAGATTCTGATGGGCAAAACTTTGGATCGAGTGTTGAATTAAACATTAGTCTAGACGAGTCGGTGATTGAACCTTCGACTTCACGAATGCATTTGGTAAGCCAGATAGCGCGGCATTTGGCCAAAGCAGACTCCCTGGAAAGCTTAAATGTGTCGGAGCAGCTGCCACATAACTTCAATTTCTCTGCCTGCAACACATCCACCATCAACCTGATAGGTTCCCACGGAGCTGTCATGCACAACACCATCTTGAAAAAGAACAAAATAATTGTCGATGACCTTACCGGATACTGTGTGATGGCCCCGATTCTCAAGGGCGTGGAAAAGGGAGCACCGCCACAGCCAGGAGGCAGCACGGCATCTACTTCTTCCGGGTATTCTACGGGATCCTATTGTTCTTCCACCAGCAGCTGCAACACCGAGGACCAACCCACTAGGACCCTGGTAGCGCCAGGTGCCAACGAGAGCGGCATTTATGAGGCCATGCATGGCAATTCCTTAAACAGCACTGTGGGAGCCGCAGCCAATGGCTTCGCGGAGCACTTATACGAAAACCTTCTGGCAGTTAAGGCAGCCCAAGAACTAGAGGCACAGCCCATTGGCTTCGGATTGAGCACCAGCACCCCCACCGAATCGCCCCTGGCGCCAGCGTTGCCCCAGAAGGGAACACCTAAAGAAAAATCTGTGCAGCAGCCTGAGGAGGAAGACTACTACCAAACTCCCCGAAAATCAATCATAAGTGTGGATGACAAGATACCCTCTTATTACCCCAACAGCTGTGACACTATTAAGTCAAAGCGACGCAGTCCCACCGATTACGGGCCAAGCCTGAGGCACTTGGCCAGTTCAAAGCTGCGACGCGAGCGCAAGGAGAATCTTTACATTTCTTCGCCGCAGCAGATCCTCGACCAACGCCATAAAGCATATCATCCACCATCGACATCTACTGCACCCACGAAGACTAAAATCTCAACGAAAAAGACTGCCGCCCACAAGATATCGGATGGTGTCTATGCTGTGACCCATCCCGTCAAGCGTCCTAATAGCGTCAACAGCACTAGCAGTAACAACAACAATAATCTGGATGGCGCCGAAGAGGAGCTTCTGCACCTGACAATGCTAAAGAATATTGATTTCAAGTTTGACGACGGCCATGCAGCCACGGAAGATCAAACTGAAAAAAGACAACCCACCGTGAACGGAGGCATATTGCAGCCAGAGGTAGAGGAGGAATACGAAGACCGGTACCAAGCAGCTGAACAGGCTACGCGGCTGCTGCAAAAGTACGCCACCCTGGCCAAGCTTGTCCAATCCCCAAAGAAGACAAAACCAGCGGTGGTAAATATAGAACCGATGGCTCAGTCGGTGGCTTCCACATCCAACGAGCTGCAATCGACCGGCACCGGCAGGAATAAGTTTGCCTCGCTGCCCCGATTCAAAAAAATAGATTTTTCGCCTTTGAAGATGAGGCTGAACAATGTCCTGCAGAGGAACTCTCCATCGCCGCAACAGTAGCTATCTTGCAGTTAATTTATCGCGAATATTTCAAGAAACGCATGCTCTCTGACTGTCGCTTGTTTCAATGTTATCCGTTTGTTCTGATTGTGATCTTGTTACTTTGACAACTTGGTATCATCTAATTTTATGTTAAACCTGTATGTAATACGCTTTTCATGATGCACGTAGTCGTAAGCCTCTTAGGTTATTTCTGCTATGTCAAAATGAACCATATCTGGCTCCATTCGAGGAGTTATACTAGTATTATTGTTGTGAATGTACGATGAGTGTCTAAGATTTATACGTACATATGGATACGCTCAATTATGGAAATTTACAAATCGCTTTTATATAAATTATACAAACTATATTGTTGACTCATTTAGGCTCATATTTGCTAGAGAGGAACTAAGTTGAATTAAGGAAGTTTTAAACCTACATACATAGAAAAACTCAACCATACCAAAAAAGGCTCCCGCCACCATTTGTTATGGCGAGCGGGGCCTTGGACTACGCTTTTTTGGCTTTGCATAACATATCAGAAACTAGCTAATCAAATGAAAAGTGCTTTTCTATAGCCTACCCAAAGCTCAATTGTACCGTGACTAAGATGTAAGCTTTATACTGAATTTTTGCAACGCTCGAATAAACTATACAGCAAACATTGGAGTTTTTTTAATTGGAATTTATTTTCGGGAGCATTAACTGTAAACCATTGGTCTTCTCTGTTGATTTATAAACTCCTGCTCTATGCGAGTGTCCTTGGGAACCACATAGAACAGCAAAGCGCCGCCGGATACAAAAAATCCCTTTTCGGCAATTATCTCGGCGATTGTCTTCTCGGGTGCCACCTTGTGAACGAGTCCAGCCTTTCGGTTTTCGTAATAGACATGCACATTTCCCAGCCTATAATTAAGGGACTTGTCGCAAGGCATGGGCTCGGCAAACAGAGTCGCCAGACAGTCGTTCATCGTGGCCGTCTCCGGCAGCTGCTGCTGGAAGTCGCTGAACAGAAACTCGGGGTAAGAGAAGGCGGCGGGCCAAACCAATGTACTGCTATCATTGTCCAGGTGCACCGAATGGTCCTCCAAGGGCAAGAATTTGGGCCGCAGCAGCTCCTCGGTAAGCTCCATCTTCTTTCCAACCCTTTGATCATCGAACTTAATGGCTCTTTGCTCGATTGCATCTTTTAGCCTGTGGAAGCGTGTCAAACGTCGCTTGGCCTCGGCCGCCTCCTTACGTTGATTCCGTTCTGTTTCAAGCTAAGATTGATGTTTTAAGTTAGCAATTGCAGCTCCGCTATTCAGTGTCACTTACCTTCTTCATTTTGGTTCTGTGGAGCAACGTCTTGGCCTCTTTGTGGTCAACATCCACCTCCAGCAGCTCCTCGCACAGCTGAGTGCAAACGTCGAACTTGTCCAACTCGTGGGCACACTGTGCCGCTCGCCAGCGAGCCTTCGTGTAGTCGGGCTTGTAGAACAGAGCTCGCTGAGCATCACTCAGAGCGGATCTGTGGTTCTTGATAAAGTAGTGAGCGGCAGAACGATTGTTGTAAAGCACGGCCAGCACGTCAGGATTCTCAGTTTTGGATTTAATGCCTTCGCTGAAACTGTAGACAGCCATGCGAAATTTCTTGTGCTTCATGTAGAAATTTCCGTCCTCCTTGTAGTTGAGCGCCAGCTCATCGCGAGTGTTCTCCTCCGGGTCGTACTTAAGCTTCTGCAGGCCCTCAAACATGGGGTGCACCTCGTCACCAGGCTGCGGGGCCTTTTTCATAAAGAATGGGTGTTTGTCCATTTCCTCCTGCCATCGGTCCTCCGGCCAGCCCTCCTCATACCGCTTCTTTTCCAAGCCCTCAATGAAGGCATCCAGCTCGGCATCTAGCCGAGCGGCCAGCTCCAAGCGCTCCTCATCCGTCCAGTTTTTTTGGGCAGTGAGTTCCTCCATCACATTCAATCTCAAAAACAAAGAAATCGCACATGTTATTGAGTGTGGCCGTCAGCTACAAAAATACCTCAGTATACGATATAGTTTAATTTACACAATCTTTTTACATTTGACATAGTTCTACATTTTACTAACGTACCGGGCACTCATTCTTGATGGTCGACCATTTTATACATATATGGAAGCTATAGAATATAGTCGGTGGATCCTTATGGATATGTGCCAAGTTTGAAGTCCTGTTGACTAAAGCTATTCTTTAAAACTAGTTTGCGTAGAAACAAACAAATAGACGGACATAGACTCACATCGACTCTTGAGTTGATCTTGATCAAGATACTATAGGGCCCTATAGGATCATAATGATAGTTATAGAGCCCTATACTTTATAGGGCTTAAGATGTCTACTGCGTTGCCCACTTTCGCCTAAAAATCATAATACCATTTTCAAGGGTATACAAATTCAGGCACTAATTCCATTGAAGAAGCTGATACAAACTGGGTCAGTCCAGTGTTCATAATTTGGGTGAGCTCAGAGTGTACTCATCGTAAAACATATATTTTTTTAACGAAACAATGAAGTATATAAGTTTTTAATCGATTTTAGATCAAAAAACATGATTTACGAGTTTTTTTCTAATGTGAAAAAATATTTTCAAGTTACGCATTTCGGTCTCACCGTAAAAAAAATTTGAATTTAATTTTAAAATTTATAATGTTGAAAACAATTAATTACAATAGATGAGGTGAATGTATCAAACATATCTAAGGGATTTGATTATGCCAAACTCTTTTAGGTACATAAATGCGGTTAAATGTCGCATTTTCAATTTGGTAAGAAAGTAATGGCGGACTATTTTCAAACGGCTGTTCAATGAACTTGGAAGATGAGTCTAAGGACCACGAACGGTAGTAGTTGCGAAAAAATGCTTAATAAATGTTTTTAGTTTTATCGCAAAATGTGAAAAGCTTCAAAGAAAATAAGCAGAATTTTGCGAATTTATTTATTTTTTCCTTGCATGGGGTATTATAAGTTTGGTCAAATTATAATACTTCACAATTATAATTTGGAGAAAGTAACGGAAGCGCCAAAAAGCAAACATTACAGAACATTATATATTATTATTATATTAATATTATAGTAATTATATATTATATAATAAATATTAAAGGGGGTTTTGTTCGTATTATCCCGGCCAGTAACATAGGCGTTTCTCGCTTGTCAGGCCGATGTATCCGTAAATAGATGAAATTAGTTTTTAATATTTTGGAACAAATGCGGTTGATAATTCTGAGTCGATATATGTAGCTATCTAAACTTTTTTTCAAACTTTGCAAAATATTTGTCGAATCGGCTGGGATCAGACGACTATTCCAATGGCTAATATATACATACCTATGTACCTACAGCATATGCTGTATGGTTAGTGGTTATGGTCTTCTTATTCTGCTTCTCTACTGAATTCCTTCAGTTATCCCCAAACACAAAAGTTTGCAACAAAAATGTTTTGTTTTTTTTTTTGTTGTTAGTGGTATAAAAAGCAATCACATGAGTACTGAGAATAACATACACTAGTCAGCATAAATATTTTGACGAAATGAAAATAATGTATTTTTGCTTATAACTTTTTATTGGTTTGATAGAACTTAACTTTTTTATTAACTTTTTGAAGGCGTTTTGGAACTGAGTCCACTAAAGCTTAAAGGGTATCAGTGGACACATCGTTCCAAAGGGAAGTAACCTTGCGAATTGTGTCTTCTTTGCTTTTAGTCAAGTCTGGACTTTGTGGTGGCCAGTTGGGAGTATTGACACCAAAATCCTATAAAAAGTTTGTTGATCATTCTGCTTTTGTGGCATGGGGCATTACCCTGTTGCAGGATAAATGATTCGCCGTTAAGCTTGTCTCCGGAAGGGAAACAGATATCATTTAGCACTCTCAAATATTGCCCCTGGTGCATCGAGCCTTCAACGGGCACCAAGTCACCCAACCCATTGTATGAGATGAACCCCCAAAACATAACCGAGACACCATGACTCACTGTTTTTAAAACGGGCCTTTTTTTATCGTTGTACCCGTGGCAGTCTTAAAAATACCTTTTTAGATGAATCAAATTGAAAAGTACTTTTGTCCGTCCAAAGAAATCTCCTCATTGGCACCCAATGTTGGCAAGTTGCTAATAGATTTATGTTTTTTAGATTTGTTTATTTGATAATGACCTGTTTGACTCGATAGTTTAAATTCATTTGCAATGTCTTTTACGGCAACACCAGCGTCAAACTTCGCTGTGATTGAAGCCCCAACAACAAGACTTAACTCGGCCGTTTTCACCATAATCCTCAAACATTAATTATTGGTTTAATTATTAAGTTTTAAAAATTTGTAAAATTTGTAGCTAAATAGTTAATTTTATCCTAAATAGCTAAAAATAGATTCTTTGTTTTGCGCCTCATTTTGGCACTTTTATTTAACGGTATTAAGGAACGCAAAGTCCGATAGTCAAAAGTATGGTTCGTCAAAATATTTATGCCGACTAGTGTATACCAGATGGTACTGCGTCTACGTCCGGCCCTATTTCAGGGGCATAGGAATTTCTTTCGGCATCTCACACCCCAGCCGCACCACAAAATATTCATATACTACGCAAACGTCACTCTCAAAGCAGTGTTGGCAGTTCAGCTAGCGAATTCAAAAACGGAAAAACTATATAATTTTGTAAATAACCTAAAGCCCTAAATCAAGCTTTTTCCTGTTTCGTTTTCAGTGTTAAGTGTTAAAATTTATTTTGTTCGAATAAAAGATATGCAAACTCTAATTAAATAGATTTTAATTTTTTTTTTTTTTTTTTTTTTTTTAATTTTTGTATAATCAAAAAAATATAAATTAAACTGATTCTTACTAGGTTTAGTTAGTTGTTACCTTTTTTCCAATTTTTATCTGGCGAGAACTGGAGCTTTTGGCTATTCATCACTCATATTAATGGCATTGAAAACATGTCACGGCGTTTTGTGCCTGACCACTAATATAAAGAAATGAAACGTCGAAAAAAAGAATGCAACATAAGGACTGACAGTTTGTATTGAAAAGTTGACAGTTAAGGTGAGAGAGTATTTTACAAATAGATTAAATTAAAAAAAAAAGGGACCGCTAAGTCCCTTAATAACTAACTGAGAGCTGTGGTCTCTGAGATCCACGCGTTCACACGGTCGGACGGACATGGCTATATTGACTCGGCTGTTGATGCTAATCAAAAATATATACATATACTTTATGGAGTCGGATTTGATTTCTTCTCTAGTTTATATATGTATGTACAAACATTGAAACGACTCTACGAGTACCGGGGATATCAAGAAAGGAAAGCTCACTTCGGCCGGAGCCGAAGTTGATATATGATAGCACTGCGGTTAAGATGGGACCATTTAACCATTATAACCATTTTATTTGAATACAAAATTTTAGTCCCCAAGAATCTCAAGCCGGCTGTGTGCAAAGTTGAAAGTTGATTTCTTCAAAGCTGAGAGACTAGTTCGAGTAGAAACAGACTTACAGATATGCTTATATAGATATGAAAATTATAATTATAATACCCTCCAACAGGGTACCAATATCTAAAATTTTTCTAATTCTCAAATGTCTGAAATTTAGGATTGCAGCAAAGATTGCACTTAACAAATTAGTACAAACGGACAAAAAGAGGGACATTCTAGTTTTCATTATGGAATACAAAAATCAAGTTTTCTTTAATAACTTCTAAACATAAAGTCGGATTGGGATGCTTGAGGTGTCAATCGACGTGTATTCAAAGTGTTATTATAATTTAATTATAGAAAAATAATTTATGTGGAGCCTCCTATGTCCCCCCAATTAACTAAATCAAAACCATTTTGCATTATCGAAAATTTCTCAGACTCAGATCAGACGCACTCAGCAAATTTTTTATTTTGCGGCTATATATAGAGTTTATACGAGCACGCACGATTGACTTTATTGAAATTGTATCGCTTTGAAACTAGAAATATACACAAATATGTATGTACGTATGAATATGGAAAATACATAAATACACATATGCAACAATAAAAGCAATTTTTTAAATCAGCGATGCAAACAATTATCACAGATTTCTCCGATCAAGGCTCTGCTACAAACTGTAAGCCATGTGTCGGCCAACAATACAGGGACTATTTGCAATACATTAGTATGATTAACGAATAATCCCGAGGGATTAAAAGCTTAAGTGTGTGATTATGTGTTTTGGTACGGAAACCACCATAATATTGTTATGACGCCCTAAATTAGAGCTGGCTATGTACCAAAATTTGTGGCACCCGAATATTGCCGAACGACCGATGCCAGATCGATGTGAAGCTCAGTTGCTCTCTCCGTTCCAAACGGATCAGGTCTGTTTCGCACTGTTCAGCGTGTGCATTGAAACTAACGTTTTACCGAAAATTAGTTCCATTAAACATTTTTACAGCTAGTTAGTTTTCACTTGTTTCATTAGAAGCATTATTTTTGAATTTATTTCATGTCGATTTCATTCTGGGAAACATCTGTTCGTTGAGCTTGCAGATAGGTCCACAATCCCCTCAACATGGCGTCCACGTCACGCCTCAAGGTAGTAACCTTCGGAATGGACCTTCTATGCACGGTTAGTATTTGTTAATAAAAAGATACGTTAAGTATTTATGGACATATACCCTTCAGAACCCAGAACCGCATCTAGACATTTGTTTTTTTTCGAATTTGGGGAGGTTTGGATCTTGCAGCAGCATTAGCCATGTGAAGTGAAAAATTAGTGCATTATAAGGGTATAATATATATCATTATAATAATTAAACCCAGGTACTGATTTTGATAAAGACCCCCCTTTTTGATCAATTTACGATCCATTATTATCTCCTATTTATGAGGATTTTGTTTCTTTTATTGACTGAATAAGCTTGTTGTAACATTTATTAAATTTTCAGTTGTTGGCCTTGGTACTGGTATCCTTTGGGATTTACGTGGTGGTATCATACGATCATAATGCAGTCGGTTCCTTATCCGCCTATGCATACGTGGGTCTGGGAGTGTCCGCCCTGGTCATCGTGCTTTGGGGACATCTGTCCACTTGGCGCAAAAACGTGTGCTGCACAATCACAGTAAGTTTTCAGCTTTGACCATTCTGGATATTTATATATTTATTTAGATATTTATTTCAAAAGACAAATTTTTTTATTTTTAGTTTACTGTATTTCTTTTCCTAGTCATCGTTGCCCAGCTGACTGTCGTAATTTTGTTGTTTTCACATGACATAAGTGTGGCATCCAACTTGTCAAATCCCGTGGAAACGACTTGGGAGGAGGAGCTGAACAGTCCAGGAGCCATGTCCCTCTACCAAAATTGGGTAACTGTCGAGCATGGGTAAAAGTCAAATTTAAATCTAGATTTAAAGTTAATCCAATACCTAGTTCCAATGCTGTGGCCGTAGCAGTCCTCAGGACTATATCATAAACGACAGATTGCCTCCAAACTCCTGTTTCCTCAACCACGACAACGCCAAAAACGAGAATCTGATTCTCACTGGCTGTCGGGTAGAGCTCGAGAACTACTGGCTGAATTTGTTAAGCATTTTCAATATTCTGGCTTGTGCCCTTATTGGTGTCGAGGTGAGATATTTTAAGCTGTGGTTAAAGCCGAATCCTTTAAATTTTTTTTTGTTTTCAGCTTCTGTTGGGTGTAATTTATTGCCTCCTCTGTAATAAGATTCGACGCGATGCAAGTCGCACCTAATACTATTAATTGGAATAATTCGCATTTATAACAAACTCGGCTTGTTAAAATCGGGAAATAACTTGTTATATTTAACAAAAATGAATGAAAAGAGCGGTTTCCAATGTACAAATATGTGTACTAGGAACAATTGATTAACTCATTTTCGCCATGAGGTGTACTTCATTTGTTTTTCGATAAAAGGTTTCCTAAAGATTTTATACAGAGCTAGCAAAACACAGCATTTAAAAGTTAGGGAAAAGTAGTGAAATCCAAATAGTGAAAAGTTGTCCAGAAATAGTGTTCAGCTGAGAGCAACACAATTTTTTGTTTTCTCTTCCATTTATCTTTCATAAATTAATTAATTCCGCTTAAAAAAAAGGAAAAATGGCATTGAGGCTTATAAGGCGTATTAATGAGTTCAGACTACTTGTGAAAGTAGTCTAGCCACGAACGACAGACCCTTTACGCTATTGGACTGTGAAGGGAAGGACAAAAAAGGCTCTTCGGCTTATTTTACTTAAAATAGATATTGCTACCTAGCTGGAAAACGTTATGTAAAATTACGCGTAAACATTCATAGGCAAGCAAATAAGGTATCAATCAAAACATCGGGAATGACCCAATACAACGGGTCCGCATCGCACGGCGGAGTACAGAAACCCAGAGTCGGAAACCCGACTATAGCAATCCTTTCTTGTTTCAACTCCAGTTGTCAACTGAAAATATGTATTATTGGAAATCGATTTTAAAATGGGAGCAAACTATTGCAAAAATCTTCCACTTTTTTTAAAAAATCTTCCATTGATCGGTTTTTATACCCTTGCAGAGGATATTATAATTTTGTCCAAAAGTGTGCAACGCAGTGAAGGAGACATCTCCGACCCTATAAAGTATATATATTCTTGATCAGGATCACCTCCTGAGTTGATATGAGCATGTCCGTCTGTCCCTCTGTCTGTTTCTACGCAAACTAGTCTCTCAGTTTAAAAGCTATCGACTTGAAACTTTGCACACACCCTTCTTTCCTTTGCACGCAGTATATAAGTCAGAACGGCCGGGATCGGCCGACTATATCCTATAGCTGACATATAACTGATTGATCGGAAATGGTATAACTTCGGTGTTTTTAGAGTTAGAGAGTTCAAATTTGACATGAGAGCGATTTTTGGCAACACATTACGACATGCCAAATTTCATAAGGATAGGCCGACTATATCTTATAGCTGCCATATAACTGAACGATCGGAAATGACCCAACTTTCGTGTTTTTGAAGATAGAAAGCTGGAACTTGGTACAGATTATATTTTTGGTCAGTTAATCCAACCTACCAAATTTCATTAGGATCGGTAGACTATATCCTATAGCTGCCATGTAACTGAACGATCGGAAATGGTTTTTGGTAGAAATACCAACTTTGGTACTTTTGAAGATAGAAATTTGGGACTTTTTTTAGATTTTGTAATCATAAGGATCGGCCAACTATATCCGATGTTTGCGATATATATCCGGTTTTAACTACAAGGGTATATCAACTTCGGCTCCGCCCGAAGTTAGCTTTGCTTTCTTGTTTAAAGTTTACATTCATGTCATATTTTATGCCTAGATATTTTATAAATTTTTTATTTATTATTTCTGTATTATTATTGATGTACATTTTGGGGGTGAAATATCATACATTTTTATACATACACATAGCCTATTGATTGTTGGACCTTTAAAAATTATGCTATTGCATTTGTTTGGATTCATTTTCAACTTCCACAATTAAAAATAATATGATTAACTGATTAATTAACTGAACTATTTGGGCTGTGCCTGTATTTGGGAATTCGGGTAGGTCTGCTAAAAGTTATGGTGTCGGCACACCAGCTACCTCATTCCTGACGATCAAACATTCCGTCCGAGGATAAAAAGAGTGTTCGATCGTTCAGATTGCAACAAACCAGCCTGGATACGAATGGATCGAAGTGGAATCCTATACGTAAATTTTAAAGGAGGACCTTCGATCCAGACGGTGTCAAAAGCCTTTCTAAATCTAGGCTGTAAGCGATCGCTTTGCGGTTATGGATGTTGCTAAATTTGAAGCTTTTGGCCGCAAGGAGTGCATTGTTAGTTGAAGTACATTTGCGGAAGCCAAATTGATTATCTTTGAGTATTTTATTATTATTTATGTGTGTATTAAGTTTTAGAATTATGGATTCAAATAGCACAGCTATGGCAGACAGTAGGGCTATGGATGTATGGCATGTTTCCACGCTGTTGGAAAATATGATAAATTAATAAATTAATAAATAAATAAATTAACAAAGAAATGTGTTAATAATGTCGTTCTATGAAACGGGTAGTCTATATGTTGTACGATTAATGGTTTTAGGCACCACTGCTGTAAAATAAAAACGTTTACCGTCATGCGAGTCCCTAACGTTACTCAGCACTTGCTTAAAAAAAGTGTTGCTCAATACAAAACTTGGTCGGCTATCGATATAAAATTTTAATATAATCGGTACTGGTTGTCATTCTGTCATTCAACCCGAACTGATATACCATTCACAAACTAAAAATATGCCATTCAGAGCGGCATCGGTACCATTCGCCCGTGGGCAGAGCTGCCAATTCACAGTTGGCAGAGACGCGACAGCGAAGTATCATCGGACGTTGGCAGCGGCGCGGCAGAGAAATAATAAAACGTCGACGTTCCTTCCTCGCAGAAGAAACCAACCAAAATAAAAACAAACACTCAGCGTGCGTTCGCGCCAAACACTAAATAACAATTAGCAAACGCAAGAAACAGAGTGAGTGTCGGTCCGGAGGCCAGTTCCGTGCCAAGTTTTCCGTTCCCGTTCCCGTGCCCGTACTAATTCTTTCCTCCTTGCCCGTCTGCTCCCAGTGCATACCCTAACGGCGGCCATCGAGATGGACAAACTGGATGCCAATATGGAACAGCAGTTTGATCTCAACCTGATCGAGGCTGTCAAGTTAAATCCGGTGATTTACGACAGGTCGCACTACAACTACAAGCACTTCGTGCGCAAGGCACAGACCTGGAAGCAGATTGCCGAAACGCTCGGTGTACCTGGTAAGTGAAATTCGGCTGACTCTGGCTCGCGAGTCCAACAACAAGCAATTGATTGCTTGTAAAAGGGGCCACAGTAGAGTGGAGCCATCGGAGAGTGCCGTCGACGACGACAGTGGCTGAGACAGAGGCTGAGGCGGCGGCTGAGACGGAGGCGGTGGCAGAGACGGAGGCGGTGGCAGAGATATTTTTGAAGTACTGTACTTTGCGTCGCGGCGCAGTAGTTGTCTCGCTCGCACCCCAGCTTTTGTTGTTGTTTTATTAGCCAGAGTGTGTGTATGTGTGCTTGCGCTGACGTTTATTTTCGTACCGCACAATGGGATTTTTTTTCAGATTTTACTGCAAAAATCATTTTTGAAAATAATGTTTCAGATGAAAAATTTTTTAAATTCCTAAAACAATTTTTGTTTTTTAAAAACAAGAACATTTAACCTGCTGTAAAAAGAAGATTAAAATAAATATTTATGAAATAAGAAATATTAAATAAGGCAAACTATTCCTATTACTATTAATATGTATGTACATATTTCCAAAAACTTATTACATTTTCTTACATATAAGAACATTTTTAAATTTAAACTACTACTAATATATTAAAAAAGAAATTTAGTGAAATCGTAAATCGTTTAACACCAAAAAAGATCAAACATTCAACATCAAAATATTTATTTATTTGCAAAAAAATGAAAAAATTTCCCATTGTGTACTGCGACTGCGGAGAGTTCTGCTTCGGCCGACAGTTGGTATACACACGTGCATACATACATAGATACGAATTCATACATATGTACATATGTGAAAACACAAGAGACCAACCAGACAGCTTTCGTTTAGTTTTCATGAGTATACCAACAAAATATTCCACCCACCCCCACCCCTTGATGATGGCCTTTGATCAAACCCTATGTTTTCGCCTACTGCGCGCTGCACCTTATTCTTCAGCTGCTTCGATTATGCAAGACAGAGGCAGAGCTCGAGGCAAGAGTTGCTTCCCAAACGCGCAGCCATGCCACAGGTTTCCATGCCTCGATTTTGTCTTCAGGCAGCCGAAGTCGGCAGTAACCAGCGCCGTCACCGTCACGTCAACGTCTCTGCTGACGCAGAGACGTGTTGGGAAGCTGCCACCGCTCTGCCTTTCCAACGGTGGCAAACAGCTGCTTGCCGTGTGGGTTAGGTTTGTTTTGGTTAGCGACTTGATGCGCCCACCAAAGGCGCGGGCAAGGACTTCTTACAGGATGTCCTCTAAAAATGTTTATCTGTCGAGATTATGGCTCGTTAAATTTGTAGTTTTTCCCAGCAATATTATTTTCTTAACGTTGGTTCCTTAAAAAAAATGGTATTTAGTCAGTAAATTCAACAATATTCAATCAACAATTCCAAATATTTTATTGATCTGTATTACTTTTTTACTCTCCCGCTTGATTATTTAAAATCTTTATCTTGCGCGCACTTGACATAGAAATTGGCCACTATGACACCAAACTTTCTCAGCCACTCGACACTCGACTTAAGCGACAGAGATTTCTCAACGCCCTAGTCCTTGAAGGTTCACAATCTTATATCCAATCTTCCCCATTTCTTTATCCCCCAGAACAAAAATGCACCAAGCGCTGGAAGAGCCTGCGGGACAAGTTTGCCCGCGAGATGAAGCTGTGCCAGGAATCGCGTTGGCGCTACTTCAAACAGATGCAGTTCTTGGTGGACTCCATTCGGCAATACCGCGAGTCACTGCTGGGAAAGTGCGCTAATGGAAGCCAAAATGCCAACCAGGTGGCGGATCCTTCACAGCAACAGCAGGCACAGCAACAAACCGTTGTAGACATCTTTGCACAGCCTTTCAACGGCAGCGCTACTACTTCTGCCCAGGCACTGACCCATCCGCATGGTAATTAGCGGCTTCATAATCAAGAAACATCCCTGACATTGATTTTAATCTCCCTTAGAAATTACTGTTACTGGGGACGCACAGCTAGCCACCGCCGTGGGCAAGGACCAGAAGCCGTACTTCTATGAGCCGCCGTTGAAGCGGGAACGCAGCGAGGAAGAGCACAGTGACAACATGCTCAACACCATCAAGATTTTCCAAAACAACGTCTCACAGGCCGTGAGCGCCGAGGATCAGTCGTTTGGCATGGTCGTTACGGACATGCTCAACACCTTGGGAGTGCGACAGAAGGCGGAGGCGAAGGTGCACATCATCAAGTATCTAACAGACATGCAGCTGCTGGCCCAGCACAACAAATACTAACTGTCGGGCGGTTGCCACCGGCAGCTGCTGCAGCTGCTCCAGTTGGAAAGCGTCCTGCCCTGAGCTTGAACGCAGATAGGCCAGCGGCCCACGCCCACACCCGCTCGTGCAGCGGCTTTTTCATTAGATTGTAGCTCTTAAAGTCAAACTAAAGTTTAATATTAGCAATTAAGCCACAGGGCGCTTACACATAAACCCTAATTATACTTCCCCAAGCCGAAACGCAGGCAAACAAGGACACACATGTATGTGCTGGTTGGCCCCGAGACCGGCGGATAAAATTTGCGCCCAGTTCTCTGCTCTGTATAAATGTAATGCGATCGATGAAAGGCAATTTGGGATTTTGCGAAGAGTTGTTAAACAATCTGGAAATATTTCATATTCAGCAATAGTGTACATTTTTGACTACGATTTAGTTGTAACTTGCCATCGGGTCTTAATACATTAGTTAAGCCCTTGCGCCTAAACGTTATTTTTATTTTTAAGTAATAAGGTAATATGCTGAAAACTCTTGAAGGATTCTTTGAATAAGTTCGACAGAAGAACAAATGATCCTCTTTTTACCTTCTTGGTTAAAATATTCATATTGATAAAGTCGAAATACATACATAGTTGCCGCAACGTCAGTTGCTAACAATTTTCATAATTAATTGTGCAATTATTTGGTATTAAAGGATATATTTGAAAAGTATATACAACTTTTTATTACCAGGCGAACTTCTTTCATGTGCTTATATTTGAATTGTATCTTGGGTTCGGAGCTCCGTTGCCTTGTACCTGGTCAATGAACCTAATTGGTGACATTAAGCAACTCAATCTAGAACGAGCTCTCCATTCTTTTTGAAACGTTAAAATCTTTCCATCGGAGTGGCATCACTGTCGTTCAATTTATAAACAAAATCAGCTGTGGCTGCCGTCAACTCCAACGAAATTTTTATGTAATTGACATGGCCAAAGAATCGGAAAAAGCTGACTTAAAATCGAATAACTCGAATACCACATTGGAAGATGCGTGGGCGGTAAGTGGCCTTTTGCTAAACTATACATGGGCCTCATTAATCGCCTTTTTAGATACGGCCCTGCCACTTGTACAAGGATGAGTACGACGATTGCACGAGCTTCAAGGCCCGTTTCCACCAGTACTTCATCTTTGGCAAGGATACGGACTGCTCTCAGTGGCTGACTGATTACAGAAATTGCGAACGCTTTCAACAGTCTAACGGAAACGACATAGCGGCTGGATCAGCCGTGGTTAAAAGCGAGGAGCAACGTCGCCTGACTCGGCTGCGCGCCCACTTTGCCAACGACACCTGGCAAAAACGCAAAGTGCCTCCGCAGGACTGGGCTGCACCTCTGCCCGATTGGATGGAAAAACGCAATGAGAACACATATCTCGAGATAAAGCAAAAAGAGCTTTCGGGACAAGTCCCGCCGCAGGAAGAGGATCGAAGCTTATGTACTATTATGTGAAAATATACGTTTAAGAAAATGACCATTTTTTTATTGTGGTCCAAGCAATTGGGCAAGGACTTATAAAATGTAAAATTTGTTCCGTTTGTTGGTGCTTTGACATACTCTTCATATCTTCATAGAGTCCCGCATCACACTAGTCCAGCTGCTCTAAGCGGTCTCAGTAGGCGTATGATGCAGTGGTTTTATTGCTGGACTTAGCGTATTAAAAAAACAAATAGAATAATGGGCCAAATAGTCGGAGAACAGTCGGCGAACAATCCCAAAATGATCAATTTTAAAATAGCTATGAATATAGATGACAGGGTCGATCGGTTTTCGGTATGTTTTAACTTGTTGAGCTCCATGGTTGTAAACGGAATGGTGACAGTCCAGTTGCCGAGGCGTACAGTCTTGCGCTGGACAAAGTTAATGCTGTCGTTGTATCGCTTAACGGCCTGCATGTCCCATTTAACGACTTTGTCGATTGTGGCGTAGTGCTTTTGTAGTGCATCTTTGACAATAGCCCATTCGTCCATAACACCCACACGTTTCCTTTCAGCCAGGTATTCACGTAGGATAGCAGCACAGTGCGAGCGATATGGGTCATTCATGTGCATGCCGAAAACTCTTATTTGCAAATACGCAACGGCCTCATCTACGCTGGGGATGGTGTCTTTTTCTTCGGCTTCCTTGCGTGCAAAAGTGGCTTCTGTGGATTCCTCCATTATGGGCCTGTGTTGTGATTCTGTAATGGTCGATCGTAAGAGTTGTTTATTCTGGACTGTGTAACGTGATACCTTTGTAATGGATTCGGCTGCAAAATTCGTGCAAAAATTCGTTTATTATACTCTTGGGGGCACCTTTGTTTGGATTAGACGTTGTTATTAGCATTTATGAAAGTCTGGTAGCACTGCAATCAGCTGTTGCACATCTGCTTTCGAGGAAGCGTCGTGGATCGGCAAGACCTAATTATTTATTATTTTCATTTCTACCGACTCAGAATCATTGCCGAAAATGCTAAAGGGAAGCACACTGAAAGCCCTAGATGTCAGAATTCTGAAGCCCTTTATTGAAATAAGGTCAGCAGGTAAACGAAAATTACATAACCCTAGACGGGCGGCACGCCTGGCATTTTCTTCATTTCAAAATTGACCGAGTTGCTTCGGGCTTCTTTGGCTGCTTCTTTCGTTGCAGAGGTTTCCAGCAGCATTTCGGCAGCATCGCAAACAGGTCCTACATAACTTTCAATGACCTCCGCAACAAGAACCGTCGGTATACCAAGAAGGAGCTCGTGGGGTATGTATTCGGTGCAGAATCCTGCCCTAGAAGTCACCTTACACCCGTTCATTTCTTTTAGGTACTCCATGCAGGATATGTACGACGTAGTCTCCGATGTCAGCAACTATTTTCGGTTTGTGCCATATGTTAAGCGGTCGGATGTACACAGTCAGGACAACTCAGGGTTCAAGGCGGACTTAATTGTTGGCTTTCCGCCACTTAACGAAGCTTATACGTCGCGGGTTTCTTTGAACCCGCCGCAATTGGTCAGATCGGAATGCCATGATGGACGACTTTTTAACTACCTGCTGAACGAGTGGCGCTTCAGCCCCGGCCTAAAGGACATACCTGATTCCTGCGTATTGGACTTTAAAGTAACTTTCGAGTTTAAATCACTGTTGCACAGCAATGTTGCCAACATCTTCTTTGACCTTATCTGTGACCAAATGGAGAACGCGTTTATCCAGGAGGTTCGCCGGCGGAACGGTCCGCCCTCGATTCGGTCTCATGTGCTCACCTCAAGGCGATCCTGATAGCTAAAATCTAATCTAAAACACAAGCCCTTGGATATACCCTAGAATTGTAGACGTTTTAGAGTTTTAAGTTGAACGTGTATTTGTACATTTCTTTGACGACAAAGAAGTTAAATCCCTTGTTAGTACGATTAACCAAAATTGTAAATAAATTGCCTACCGAGTCTACTTCTGCGTTTTACCGCTTTGGCAAATGAATTTACACGTAACAAAGTCGTACAATGAACATAAATTAAGTACTTTAATGTGATTCACTTAGGACAACATTAAAATCAAACATTTTATCAACAGTCTCGTTAAGGGATAATTAGAGTGCAACAATAACGGATCCGTAGATTAAATTCAAAAGTGTGTTACTTCGTAATTGACAGCATCGCTCGATGGTGATAAGAACCTATACGTTAAACTAAGATTATGGTTGGAATGGCATCGTTTAAGTTAAGAGAAATACAGTCCTACGCTACGATACATTACATTACATGCTTACCATACAGATATCGTTATTATCGTGCATCTCTAGCTTAGATTCTTCGGGGTAGGCCTACATGTTTGTGAAAATGCTACAAGGTGAGTATGCATTTAACAGATGCCGCTAACTTTGCGGCTCCATCTACAACTATAACGCTAAGCTCTACATTACTTTATACAGGGGATGTAACGAACACTACTTACTTAGCGCAGTAAAAAGACTGACTACAACAGTGTTAGTTTAGATATTAGTTTGTTGGTAGGTTATTCATATTGTCCAGTGAGTGCAACTACTTTCGCGAAAACAATTGGGCTGCGAGAAATCAACACACTTTTGGGTCGAGTCCAACAGCAATTTAGGCCAAAGGTACTTTAGCTTAATAGTAAGTTTCTAGTAAGAGCGGCCAAATGAATATAAACGAGTACGAGGCGGAAATAGTACAACAAAATTAGTAAAACTTAATTTCCTGGATCGGGAGTATGGGGTGTGGGAAGGGCATGTCACCTTTTGTCACCATTTAGAATGGTGAAGCCCATGCTTAAGCCTTATAAAATATCACTTTTCCGGCGGCGGTAGGCCGCCAGCTTTCTTAGTTCTCAGTTGTGTTTTGCCCTTCTTCCGAACATGTAACCCTTCCAGCGCTCCGCTGTCTGAGCGATCAGTGGATCACTGTCAATGGTGGCCAGAAGCAGGAGCTGATTTACGTGTGTCGCATGGTAGTCCCAACGTGCTAGATTTGGGGCCACCCCCAGGCTGAGGTGGCGCAGGTCGTAACTTGTGCCGGAGCCGGTGTCGTACAGCAGCAACATTTTTTTCAGGGAATGCATGCCCTGGGCAAACAACTTGCCGGCTTCTCGGGCGATTTTAGCGGGTGCCGTGCTATTGAGATCATAAAGGCCCAATAGTGAATAGATAAATCCGTTTAGCACAAAAGAAGGTGGCGTCGTGGGATATTCCTCATACCTGTGTAAAAAATTTTAATTAGTTTGTGTTCATTTAACTTAATAACAAATTAGATATTAATTGGCAAAAAAAAGTAGTGTCTGAAGTTTTATACATATTTCCCTCGGAGTTTTAAAAATCAATTCGTTCAATTGGCATTCTTATAATTTTGATTTTGAATTACAGTGTGAGTTAGTTTTCAACTCACCAGTAGAACTTGTCCATAAACTGCGCCAAGACTCCACCGTCCCGCGAAAAAATCCTATAGGGCTGCAGTCCTGCTGCAGCCGCTCGGAGATAGCGCTCATCTCCACCGGAGTGCCAGTAGGCGCGGGCTAGAACTGAGATGGCGTGGCCTTGTCCCATGGCCGATATCCAACCCGGTCGCAGTTCGGCAAAGCCATTGAGGTTTCGCCGCACCGGGTTGGCCCACCCACCCGTCTTTGCGTCTTGGTTGTGAACAAACCACTCCGCTGCGTCATAAAAGTGCGCCAGGTGATCGCTCGTGGAGAGGGTGACATTGTCATAGAATCCCAGGCCCAGAAATCCGATCGACAGCACTTCCAGATCGGAGCGTCGCACCTTCAAGGGTGAGCGTCTGTCTCCAAGCACAATTCCCTTCTGGACATCGATGTGTAGGTCACGGGTTATGTGACGCCACTTGTTCAGCGCCGTGCCGCCCAGGCCGTAATAAATGTTTGAGTCTTGTACGCTGAGCAGCAGGTCAGCGGGTATATAGTGGAGGTTGTAGCTGTGATGCGTATCGCGGTTTCGTACAGTAACCATAAGGCTGCTTCCATTGGTTACCAGGAGCAGATCCACGCTGAGCAACAGGTCCAGGGTCTGGTTGAGGGTAGTGCTAATGGCCCCCTCATAGCCGGGTGCCGTTTCAAACTGGACGACGCTCGTATTAAACCGGTGGTGCCAGATGCGTGTCATATTGCTGGTTCGTGGAGTGTTCCAATCGACCTGGTTACCGTCGGCGTCCTCGAGTATCCGGACACGGGGTTCCGGTTCAGTCAGGTTCTTACTGTAGTGGGAGAGCGCGAATTGGGCTATCTGGGTTGGGTAGAAGTAGCCTCGTTTCTCCCACTGAGTGCTTATGGGCACGCCCTCGGCAGCGCTGATGCATTTTACACGATCGCGGACTTCTACATTGTAGTTCTCGAAGTACATGAAAACGCCACGAGCGTCGTACTTGCCTTTGGGCAGGTTCACCTTTGACGTGCTGTGCATCCAATTAAATTTGGCCACTTCGGAGCCGCTAGTCGAGACAGCGCCGCTGACGTCGAAGTAGTTCCGAAGGAAGGAGAAGGGAACGTAAACTTCATTGGCATTCTCTTCCCGTTTGCAGTGGACGCTGTACTCCTGGTTGATCACGCACTCAATGTCCTGCAATACCACATCTTCTCCGACATGTCCACCGCTGGTTGACAGCTTTGAGGACCGGTCCAGGGGACGCATGAGATCCGGTGAGAATGAAAAGGCGGCACATCGCATGTAGACACCAAGCGTGATGACCACCACGGCCGCGGTGAGAAGGAGCAACAAGGCCTTAAGATTTAACCGCATAATGAAGAAGACCAGTGGCTCGCGAGGCTGCATGTACGTGAATAGTGGCATAAAAGGCTTCAAGCACGTGGTAATAGTAATACCTTGATGGCTGGTGGCTTCAGTGAGTCCCGGCTATCCCTGGTTACTGGAAAAGCGGTCGCGGCGGGGGCATTTTTTTGGGCGCTCAAGTAACGGGACATCCGTATCAACAGCTTTTCCAATGCCCTTGCGATGCTAGCTTGGTAACAGTCATGGACAGGTTAATCATAATCCATTTCCACGAGTGGGCGGATCATACACATCTGATGAAAGTGGTGCTCCAAAAATTTCTTCCCGACACTTAACTGCTAAATAATTCCGTTTGCAGAGGTTATTTAATGTCGATTACAGAAGTGAAAAACCTCACGCTGGTAAATTTACTATTTCCAACGGTCCTCCAACATGTCGGCCACGATTTTTCACAATTTTTCTAAATCCTTGTTCCGAAAAACAGCACATACAGATGAGCAAATGTTTTGGTGTACGAACAGTGTGGCCGGTCTAGCTCGTTTATGGCTATGGAAAATCTAGCCTTATCCAAGTGTAGACAGGTATTTGCACAATTTAAATTTTCGAAATAAAAGATGAGCAAACAAAACATGCTCTTATTTAAATAAAAATGGGTTTTTTTTAATACCACCAAAGTCATGTTAGTTGAATCCGTAGTAATTTATATCGTAATGATTTTTATACAAAAAAGATCTACAAAAATAGTAATATAATCATACAGGAATAGTAAATTATGGACATTAATTTTTTATAAATAATTTTTTAGATAAGCATTTTTTTATTTACTTAAAAATGGAGAATAATATATCTGGAACGTACATATGTCAAGCACGTTATCTGTGGAATTACGATATTCTTCGCACACATCGATATTTTGAGAGCTCGACAGCCCTAATCAGGAACTTTCCTAATCAACGACAAATCAATAGTCAAATGTTTACAAAATTTCCAGTTCGCTGAAATGCGACTCGTGTAGACCCATTATGTTCGGTCCCAGTCTAAGTGCAATTCTCCTGCTCCTGGCCGCCTTGGTAGCGGCTTGTAACGCTTCCAACGGCGACCGAACGCAGTTTTTCCACAATTGCCGGCAGAACTGCGAACGGACCAATTGTTCCGCAGGTGAGTTCGCACTAGTTAGTTTGTGGTCCATCTGGTCCATCGGTTTTTCTTGCTTCCAGATGGCCTGGAAATACAGGAGCAAGCGGTCAAGTTTTACAGACAGTCGGTTTTTGACCGGCTTTTCCAGTGGAGCTGCGCTGATGAGTGCCAGTACGGCTGCATGTGGCGCACTGTTTTTGCCTTCTTTGAGCGGGGCTGGCCCATTCCGCAGTTTTATGGAAAATGGCCATTTCTTCGTCTGATGGGAATGCAGGAACCAGCTTCGGTGTTGTTTTCGGCACTTAATTTCGCGGTACACGTACGTATGTTGCGCAAGTTCCGCCGAGAAGTGCGTCCAGACAGCCCTTGCTACATGCTGGCACATATTTTCGGAGTGGTAAGGATTTGAGCGTTTGCCCATCTTGGTCTCCACATGTTTTTTTTCTACAGACTAACCTCAATGGTTGGATATGGTCGGCTACCTTCCATACGCGAGATTATCCACTTACGGAGTTACTAGACTATGCCTTCGCCTATTCTATTATTCTGTGCTCGCTGTATGTTCTGGTGATGCGAATGCTCCACCGTCACTCTCTGTTCTTGCGTGGAGTTATCACATTGGCCTTTATCTCCTACTACATTAATTACTTCGCTTACCTGAGCGTGGGGAAGTTCAACTACTCATTCAACATGATGGTCAATATAGCTACCGGTTCAGTGGGAGCACTTGGCTGGTTCGTCTGGTGTCATTTCGTCCGTAATCGAAGACCGTATTTCCGGCGGATTCTACGTTTCTACGTGCTCTTCGCCATGGCCATGTGTCTGGAACTGTTGGACTTCCCGCCCATACTGTGGACGCTTGACGCGCACGCACTTTGGCACCTGGCGACGGTGCCCCTGATTCCCCTTTACTATGAGTGGGTTTTAACTAATGTTTTTTTGAAGAAACTTTGTTAACAAACGTATCATTTTAGGTTCATGATTGAGGACTGCCGGACTCTGCGAAAGGAAAAGGCCGTTGCAGGCGGGTATTCTTTCTACAACTAGTATTTGCAATGACTTAGCTTTGTTTACAAACAGTAAAGTAACTTTATTACGAATTTCAATACTCTGAATCCTCACGCTACATTTGTCCACATTGGGATATCGTTACCGGCAACTTTGGTTTGTTGTTGGGTCCAGTGGGAACGTTCTCAATCTTCCTCATGATAAGAAGTCCGTCGAGGACACGGCCGAACACAACGTGCTTTCCGTCCAAAAAGTTGCACTTCGCGCAGGTGATAAAAAATTGACAGCCGTTAGTGTCCTTCCCGCTGTTGGCCATGGACAAGAGCCCTGGAGAGTCGTGTTTTAGGGTAAAGTTCTCGTCGGAATACGTGTTGCCGTAAATGCTGGTCACGCCCGTCCCATCGCCCTGTACAAAATCACCGCCTTGGATCATGAAATCCTTAATTACTCGGTGGAAGCTGGCACCTTTGTATCCGATGGGCACGCCATCTGGGCGGTACTCTCCCGTACAAAACTGGCGAAAGTTCTCCGCCGTGCGCGGCACTGTGTCTGCAAACAGCTCAAATATCATCCTGCCGATTTCCTACGGGGAAGAGTGTGTTAAATCATTTTCTATTGCTTTGTGGGAGTTTACTTACTGTTGTGCCCACTGCAATATCGAAGAAGACTACCGGATTATTTGAGCTCCGCAGCTGCGATTGTATTTGATTCCAGTTGGGCATTTTAATTCTTGTCAACAATCTTTTTAGAGATACAAGCGGATTCGCGCGACCCGTCCGGCACTTTTTGTTTACATTTAGACGATGTATCGGTAACCAACCGAAAGAAATCGATAGGCCACCAACAGTCGCACGTGTGTGTAAAATAGGGTTGTTGGTTTTTGAAAAAATATCGTATTGATGATATTTGCTGTGAAAAAAATATCACAGCAAATATTAAGAAATATCACTGTTGTTTTGTGTCATGTGGAGTTGCCTTAAACGGCTCCCCACACGCGTAGGTCCGAAGAAAGGGGTACTTCAAAGGCCTTGGCTGTGGCTAACGGAACGTTTTATTCTGTAAATTCATAAATTATTCTACAATTCAAATATTAATCCTTCTTCTTACCGCAGTGTGCCCTCCTACAATCAACAAAACAATGAATGGCACTTTTTGGCGGCATTCACACTACCGCTATTAGTAGGCCCGTAATTCCGACAACTTAAAATACTACATTTCCTAATAATACTGACTTAACTATCGATAACAATGTTTTTGACCGTCGACATCCCCGACCCCGTGAAGACCCGCTTCACTCAAATCCAAACTCCAAGTTTAGAGACGGGCCGCAACATTGTCCAAGATAGTCCATTAGCTCCATCCATCTCCATCGGCTCCGCTGTAGACCTCCTCCACGATGCCCTTGCGCCACTCTCGTCTGGGCAAGGCAGGATCGCAGACGAAGACCATATCGCCCTGGCGGATGGGCTCCGTTCCCTGGCACCACTTCTCGCGGCGCACAAGCGTAGGCAGGTACTCCATGGTGGGACTCCACATGGTCCCTCGGCGCGACTTCTTCCAGGGTATGGCGCAGCACTCGCTTGACGCAATGCACCATCTGCTCCCATACTCCGCCTCTGTATCCTCTCCGTCTCGAACGCGTCTCCAAATCGTCTGGCCTCCTTGTCGGCTCCCACGAAGTTCTTGCTCACCTCGTACACATCCGGGTCTCGATCGTCGTTACCACCTCTCCAAAGGAATCGTTGGGAACGTCGATCTCCAACCTTGGCTGCAGCATGAAACACAAGCCGGACCTCACCGGGCTTGTTCGGGGTTTCGACACCGAATTGTGGCAAATTCCATAGCTTGTCGCTCTTCACCGCGACCTCATCCGGCTGCAATTTCCTCGCATATCCTTTGGACACGTCCTTGTTGATCCGATCGTATCCTAGCGCCAACGGCCCGTGGCGCTTCAACTTCTCGACGTCGATCAGCCGTCTGTGTGCCATCTCGTAGCTCCGTGGCAGCACAGCGTGGTCATCCTTCCAGAGCAAACCCGTCTGGTCGCGACGCCCCACTTTCACCGTGGTGTCGTCGAGGATCCTTTGGGCCCGCGCGTCGTCGCTGGCTGCGACCGGTTGCGCGAGCTTCACACCAAAGCCTTCCATCTCGACGTAGTCCTCCACCATCTTTTCCATCGTGTCCTCCACTGACACGGCTAGAAGGCAGGACCTCGGTGACGGCGTAGTTGATTGTCCACTTACTGGCCCAAACACAACCCATCCAAGCTCGGTTGCGGCCGCGAACGGTCCCTCTCTGGCAAACCGTCTCGTCCTAAGTGGCAATCCCAAATGTCCATGGTCCAGTCCGATGAGCAACTTCGGCACCACGTTGCTGTAGGGCTTCATCGGCAGTCGCGAATCCTTATGAACGCCCTGGACATCTCGTCGACATAACGTCTGCATCGGCAGACTCAGGCTCGAAACGGCGTACACGTTCCTCAACGGGTGACGAGTGGGCTTCCCAGCTCCACTGATCTCCAGACTCACCACGTTGGTAGGCTCCCTGCTGGCTCTTCCTCCAAACCATTGGATGTTCAGTTGTCGACGTTCGCCTTGCACTCCCAGATCCCTCCGTAGCTCGTCGTCGATCATCGTGACGGAGGATCCTTCATCTAATAGCGCGTATGTGTCCACCTGGCGACCAGCTCCGTACAGCGTTACTGGCAGTATACGGAACAAAAGTCTGCCTCCTTCGACGTCAATACTTAAGTTTCTCTGCATGGGCGCCTCCGCTGGCTGCGGGGCCCTTCTTTCCAGGCTGTTTCTGCGGACAGCCGACTCCTGGGTCCTCTCGTGGTCCCTGTAACCACCTCGTGGCGAAGACCTCCTGTCCGGGCTGCGTCTGGAAACTGGTGACATCTGGTTCCCTCCGTTGTGGCGCCTGAAACCACCTCGCTGCTCCGGCCGTCTTCGCCCTTCGTCCTCTTCATGTAGCAGACGGTGATGCAATCTGCGGCATCCGTTGATCTGGCACTCGCCATGCACATCACAGGATCTGGCCGCATGCCCACTCCGTAAGCATGTGAAGCAGAGCCGATGCCTCTTCACCATGCTCCATCTGCCCGGTGGCGAAGCTCCAATAAATTCGCTGCAGCTCGTCGTAGCATGTTGACCTCCACAAATTGGACAACCTCCATGCCGGTCATCCCGCTGCTCGTATCCGTTCTGGTCGACGCTCGCGTGTAGAACTCGACGCCTCGGCTCCTTTCCATCGACGTCCAAAATCGTACACACGATGTTTGCGTACTCCTGTAGCCACGCGCTGAAGTGCGCTACAGTGGGAAAGGGTTGGATCGATGCAGCGTGCCTGGCCCAATCCACTCGTTTGCTGGTGGGAAG